GGGGTGAAAAATAACATTTCGGGGTCTCGTGTCCCAGGAAAGCAAACACTATGCATTGTGTTTTAGATATCTCTCATTTTTTAATTAACATTTCTCATTCGTTCCGTTATTGCTCGAAGTAATAATATTAGTGTCAAATGACTTATAAGACAAATAAAAACACTTGATAGCTTCAAAGGACATTTTAAACATTTTCTGTTCCTACAGGCCTATCCTTCATCAGCTTTTAACGTTATTTTTCACTATAGTTGTTCTGTTCCTATGTCTGGATGAAAATAGTCTCTCTCTCTCTCTCTCTCTCTCTCTCTCTCTCTCTCTTTCTCTGTGTGTGTGTGTGTGTGTGTGTGTGTGTGTCTGTGTGTTTGTGTGTGTGTGTGTGTGTGTGTGTGTGTGTGTGTGTGTGTGTGTGTCTGTGTGTTTGTGTATGTGTGTGTGTGTGTGTGTGTGTGTGTGTGTGTGTGTGTGTGTGTGTGTGTGTGTGTGTGTGTGTGTGTATGTGCATTCGTGTATATTGCATGAGAAGAAAGGAAGTAGTAAGAAAGGTTTTTGAAAAATGGGTATTCCAATGTAAAGCGCATTTAGCTACTTTTTTTAAAATGCGCTATATAAATGTTATATATTATTATTATTATTTTTATTATTATTATTATTATTATTATTATTATTATTATTATTATTATCATTATTATTATAAGGTTTATTATCCTATGAAAACCACACTTTGCCTAACGTGGATGATTTAATTAAGCAAAGCTATAAAGACTGGCGCGATCAAATCGTTATGGAATTTTACCACTGTCATTGACAATATTTTATTATTTAATCATTTCGGAACTCAATACTTCCACTGTGACAGTCACTTCGACTTGAATTTTACCTGGAGGTGAGGCTTTTCTTCCCTTCCATTTTTTTAACGGCATTTTGTATTTCTTCTTTCAGAACTAGAGGTCTTTTTTCTTTATTTCTTTATTACAGTTTTTTTTTCTCCTCTATTATTTTCAAGTAGCGTTCCCTCAATGTAATCTGACCATCTGTTAAACACACCCCTTGGCACAATTAAATGTCTCGGGGGGGGGGGGGGGGGGGTAACGCAGCCTGTGCTTGAGCGTCCTTCTGTCCACACTTACTTCTTTAATTTTGGAATCCATGTATTTGCTGTCTTTGTTCTGCTTCTTTTATATTTTTTGACAATGATCATCTATTCAATCAACTTTTGCTGCATAACATTTTAAAAATAGTTTCCTATTTGAATCACCGCACTTTTTTCTATTTGATTTTGGCAGACGTCTCTGTTCCATTACATTATTCTGTCACAGGACATCAATTTTCTATTTTGCTATCTTAGGTTTTTGGAGGACCGCTTCTTCCGGAGTTTTCATAATTAATAAATGATAGCATTTTTATAGAGAAAATTTTCACTCAAAGAGCAAGATCTATCTGCGCTTTAAAACGTTATTATCACCACAGCAGACCTGATACCATTCTGAAACAACACCAACTTCCGTTAAATCACTAATACATCGACAAGACCTTCCGCTGTCTATGGCTGGATTTCTATTAAGACTTGGGTGTAGTGAGGAAAATTCGTGTAAAGTGACTTTTCCAAAGACACAACATCGAGCTTATCTGAGCCCCGAACCCTGAACCTGCAATCCCGTAATTACGAGTCCGGCAGCCTGACCACTAGACAACCAACGCCACTAGAATATTGAGCTCTTCTTTCTTGTCTCCCCATTTAGTACCTCAAAGTTCAGTATCAAAATGACAGATACTTAAAAAAATAAATACCAACAAAAAGACACCTGAACCCATTCAGATCTCAGCATGAGGGAATACGCGACAATGAATACGCAATTGACATCCTTTTTTCGTATCATTTTTTTTTTGGAGGGGGGGGGGGGGGGGGTGATAAAAATTCAGATTTAAAATGACCCGTAAAAACAAAACAATAATCATCCCCATATTAGTAAAACACATGACCACAGACAGGTGTACTCACGATCCCTGTTATACAGCTTGTAGGTGGAAGGTATCACTGGTGTCTTCAGACTTACTTCCCACCACGAGAAGTCTTCATATTGTATGGTGTGGCTACACGAATAGTGGAAGTAATCATCGTCAGTGTCTCCATCTACAGCGTTCTGAGCATACCCGTCATAGGCAACGGTGGACTGACGGGCATCTTGTTCAAGTCCAATGTAGCGTCCTAAAGACAGACAGTAGATTCTTGTCATTGGGGAAAGGAGGGATTAGATTGAGAGGGGGGGGTGAGAGAGCCGGAGAGTGAGAGAGAGAGAGCAAGTGAGAGAGCAGAAGGGAGAAAAAGAGAGTGAGAGAGGGCGAAGGAAAGAGCGAAAGAATGAGAGAGAGAGAGAGGGAGAGAGAGAAAGAGAGAAAAAATAAGAGAGAGAGAAAGAGAGGGAGAGAGAGAGAGAGAGAGAGAGAGAGAGAGAGAGAGAGAGAGGGAGAAGATAAGATAAGATACAACTTTATTGTCCAGATCCTGGCACATTGGTTTGGTGTTCCACCACGAGTACACACACACACACACACACACACACACACACACACACACACACATACACACACACACACACACACAGAGAG